GGAATAACGTTACTAAAGGAAATTCGATGTGAGCAAACAAAAAAGTAAAAAAAAAAAGATATCTTGGAAAGAACAGACGGTTTATTTCTCCACGCTCGGTCGAGATAATACAATAATTCAAAGACTGTGACAGTGTAGACTGCGGATTTTTATACAAAAAATATTTATAACACCAGTTAAAAAATGTGATTTGAATAATTTTTTACAGTTCTCTTGAATGCATAAAATCCCGATCATCGGTAACGACTGTAATATGCGTCAGGCGCGTAAAAGTCTGTCCAGGTGACCCACGTAGATGGTGTCCAGGGTCTCCTACGACGCTTACCGTCGAGGCATTCGGCATCTGCTCCCTGCCTGCCGTTGTTCCTCTCGTAGAAATCATAATCCGATCCGGAGTCATAATAAACAGGATTGCCCATGTCCATGTCTCTGGAGTCTCGGTCGCTCAGCTCGCAGTTGTCCCTCTCGGCGCCGTAGGGTGCCGCGTAGGGTCGATAGTTGAACGATCTACAAACGAAGTCTCTGGCGTCGGCACACTCCCTCTCGCACTGTGCCAACGAGGAAGCCGTGGTATATCTTCTGACGAAAGGTTTCCGGACCCTGGTGTGGGGTCCCACTTGTCTGAAATTATCCTGTTCGTCGCATCTGGAGACCAGGGGTGGTCTACCGATGATGGGACCACCGCTGGTACCAAATGGTCGCGAGTTGTACACGCCACCTTCGCCTATGTAGCCACCACCGACGATCCCACCGTCATTATTATACCCGCCGTAACCCAAGGGTCGGGTGGGTGGCCCGGCCACTCCGTAGTGGGTGCGATCGGGGTGGGTCTGCGGTCCGTACATGTCGTCTGGGTAAGTCGAAGGATACCCTCCAGAAGGTGGCGGATACCTAAAAAAACTCTCATCAATTTCCCTGAAAAATCTATAAATCGACATCAGGGCTCGAAAGAAAATGTAAATCATTTAGAAATTTTAACACATTGCTGACCGATCATGAGTTAACTCGTGTTTTCGTGGCCAAGCGTTGGTGACCGGTCACGAGTAAACTCGTGATAAGCTTCTTTCCGCATCTTTATTGTTTTCACGGTGAAATCTTGTAGTGTAATTATTTAGTCTGCATACCTCAAGTTGTGTCTCGCTTATAAGACCGGCCAAGTTTCGTTCTTAGTTGTAAAAAAAATTTCAACGATGAGCAAATTCTTCGAAATGAAAACGGAGCGAAACCCGATAT